ATTATTTGGAACGAAATAACTTGAAATTAAATAGTACAGAATTAATTTTTAACTCGATTTTATTATTTAAACATGGCCATGAATAGATCTTTCTCTACTACGGATGTGGAAAGATTGAGTCACGAGGATACGCTATATAAATTAGTTACGCAGCGTAATAAGTGACTGAGAGAGGAGGACTTACCAACGGAATTCGTCAAATTTAAGGAAGAGATGAGGGATCTAATTACAACCTTAATGGCTCCTCAGACTGCTCAATTAAGAGAAATTAAAGGGGAATTGCAATCGATCAAGGATACAAATGCTAATATTGACTCGTCAATATTATTACTTACCTCTCAGAACAAGGAACTCTACAAGAAAGTAGAAACCCTGGAAACAAAAGCTAAAGCCGATCGAGAATATGTCAAGATCCTTGAGCAACAGGTGGAAGATCTACAGAGGACATTACGAAAAACAAGTATCGAGATTAAAAACGTACCTAAAGTTAAGGAAGAAAAAAGAGAAGATCTCATAAAAATGGTTCTCAACTTATCAAATACCATCAACTTGGACATGAAATCTGATGACATAAAAGACGTTTTTAGGCTGCAAGGTAAAGACAGAAATGTTATAAATACTCCCATCATCGTTGAACTTGGATCCACTCTTAAAAAAATTGATTTGTTACAAAAGACAAAATCTTTTAACATTAAAAATAAATACAAACTGCAGGCGAAGCATCTCGGACTCAAAATTAACGAAGACGCCCCTGTTTTTATATCTGAACAGTTGACTCCGAAAGGGGCTCGTCTATTCTTTCTAGCTCGTGATCTAGTGAGATCCAAGAAATTTAAATATTGCTGGACGTCTTTTGGCAGGGTATTTGTGCGACAAGATGATAACACCCGAATTATTAAAATCATCAGCGAATCTCAGGTACATCAGCTAATGCAAGATGCATGACTATTCTCTATAATTACTTTTAAAATTATATTATCTCTTCTAGTGCTAAAATTCACACATGTAGTATTATTCTCATGTAATTATGATTCTTTTATAATTGTTAAATACATAAATAACTATACTAAACCACAAATCTACACAATTGCATACCCTTTATTATTTATAGAAACCAAATTACACATTAAACTCATACACAATACAAAACCTTACACACACTCACTTAGGCATCATCTTAAAAACCATTACACATTTAAATTTTTGGGTATTATCTACAAATCTCTTACAAAAACAAATGAATTAAAAATTACGCCAAAATGCCATATAGATAATGTCATTACTACCTTCTGTAGCTACAACGATTCAGTTATTATTGCAAACAATCATGGATAGCTTTATGAAAACAATTGAAGATTTGGACGAAACTGAAATCGCTAAATCTGTAGTATGTAATATAGAGGACTTACCTAAAGTAATGCAGCCTATACCAAATTCCAATTATACAACACTAACCCAAAATATTAGGAGTATATATCACAACATTAATGATTTACTGATTAATATGTCACAATTGCCATTTGAAACTGATGTCATAATATTGACAGAATGCAGGTTAAATGTTAATAAAGAAATACCAACATTGGATAATTATAAACCATATAAAATTAATCGTCAGCTAAATCAGAATGACGGGGTTGTAGCATATATTAAAAAAGACTTAAAAGTGCAAAAAGTATCCGAACTAAAGCTAACACATGCATCAGGTTTACAAATCGTTACTTCTGACTTCATTATATTGGGTATCTATAGATCGCCGTCAGTCGCAAACGCTGATTTGTTTATTGATTCCATAAATACGCACTTGGAAACTATAGCCTCACATAAGAATATTGTTTTAACTGGCGACATTAATCTTAACCTAATTACTAAGCCGACAGAGCTAGCGTATCAAGACAGTAACAAGCAGAAGTACCTAGACATTTTATCTTCACATGGACTCTTGTCCGGTCATTGTTTACCCACTAGACAGGACAACTGCCTTGATCATGTGTTCCTAAAATTAGATAAACATACGAACTCAGCACTTGTAGCAGTACTTAATACATCAATTACTGACCATGCTATGGTTTTACTCAGCATTAATAAATCGTACGAGATAATTAATAAGTTTCCTAAGATTGAATGTACTATCGATTACAAGTCAGCTCATTTAACACTTGTAAACACAGATATCTCTCATTTTAAGACTTGTTATGACTCAAACATTTTGGCTGACATCTTAATTGATACAATAAAAGCAGCAATTGATGCAAATACTAAAGTTAAACTGGTTAAAAATAGCAAAAGGATTTTAAAACCGTGGATTACCACAGGTGCTTTGCGGTGTATTAGGCTTAGGAATAGCATGCAACTAAAAGCGAAACAGGAACCCACAAATGAAGTTTTAACAATAACTTTTAAACGTTTTAGAAACTTTTGCACAAATTTAATTAGGAAATTAAAAAGACAGTATAATAAAAATGAAATAGAATTATCTTGTAAAAATCCCAAATTACTATGGTCCAAAATTAATGAAATAACCCAATTCAAAAGCACTAAAACTTCTAATGTTAGTCTCCTCGACCTGTCACCAGACCCTCTTGAGTCAGTAAATATAGTTAATAAATTTTTCGTCACCATTGGTAAATCTCTGGCTGAAGATATAACTAATAATCCATTATTGCAACATGACAATTCCCCTGAGATTAAATCAAGTCTAAACTCATTTGTATAGTTGATAAATTTTTCGTCAACATTGGTAAATCTCTGGCTGAAGATATAACTAATAATCCATTATTGCAACATGACAATTCCCCTGAGATTAAATCAAGTCTAAACTCATTTGTTTTATTGGACTCTGACCCACACGAAGTTTCTGATATACTCATGAGTCTTGATTCCAGAAGTGCTCCTGGTTGGGATGGTATACCAACATTGTTTCTGCAAAGGTGTAAAGATTTTGTGGCTCCACTAATTAGCCAACTAGCCAACCTGTGTTTTAAAACAGGGAAATTTCCAAGGGCTCTGAAACGTTCACTGGTCACACCGGTATTCAAGAATGGAGAGAGAGGCGATGTCAACAATTACCGTCCTATATCTGTCTTGCCATGTATCTCCAAAATCTTAGAAAAACTTTTGAATAAAAGACTCCTCAGTTACTTGCACCATAATAAAATTCTTTCAAATTCACAATATGGCTTTAGACAAGGTTTATCTACACAAGACGCAATATCTGATTTAACAAAGATGATTATAGAAAAGGTCGATCGTGGAGAAAAATGTCTCGCCATCTTTCTCGACTTAAAAAAAGCTTTTGACACCGTCTCTGTCCCCAGACTTGTTCTTAAGCTAGAGAGCATTGGAATAAGGAGCACGGCTCTTGCTCTCTTTAAAGACTACCTGCTTGATAGAAAACAAATGGTTAAAATTGGCACTAGTGTAAGTCAAGAAGAATGTATATCCTATGGTGTCCCACAAGGATCTGTCCTCGGCCCAACTCTTTTCTTAATATATATTAATCAATTGTGTAACTTAAGAAACTGTGGAGGACAGATCTTCTCATACGCCGACGACACTGCGGTTGTTTTCTCCGGTAGTTCTTGGGAAATAGTGCAAAATGTCTCCGAAAAGGGCTTAGCAATTATTGCTAACTGGCTGAGCATTAATCTACTAACCTTAAACGCCACAAAAACTAAATACATGTGCTTTTCTCTCGATCAGAGAACTCAACCGGATGATAAGTTTCGGCTCAAGGTTCATACCTGTGCGAATCTCAATAACCATAGTTGTTTATGCCCGAGTATTGAAAAAGTTAGCTGCATTAAATACCTAGGTATTATGGTCGATCAAAGGCTCTCCTGGCATACTCAACTTGAAGCGATTATTGGCAGGATACGTAAGCTTATCTGGATCTTTAAAAATCTAAGGTATGTTATGTCTAGTACTTTATTAAGCAAAATTTACATTGTCCTTGCACAGTCCATACTTACATACTGTATTCCTGTGTGGGGTGGTGCAACTAAAACCAAATTTCTTCACTTAGAGAGAAGTCAAAGGTCACTCTTGAAGGTTATGTACTTTAAACCATATAGATATTCAACACATGAACTATATAAAATGTGTGGACTCTTATCGATTAGGAAATTATATATTTTGAAACTTCTTCTTCACCTTCACCAAAAACTACCTTTTGACCCCAATAAAGTTAACGTAAATAAAAGATGTATGGAAAAAGTTGCACCATTTCGCGCAGTACGTACTGCCTTTGCTCGTCGTCAACTGACATCACGGTCTGCTTACTTATATAATACTTTAAATCGAAAACTAAATATATACCCTGAAAAGTTATATGAATGTAAAAGGATATTAACAAATTTCTTATCAGATTTAAGTTATGATGAAACAGAGAAACTCATAGATACAATTGTGTAAGTTCCATACATCATAAATTAGGCTTACACACTTACCCACACTTACACAACCTCTCTTCACAATGGCTTACCCTGATTCCAAGATTGGAGTCTTAAGGGTTAGTAGAGGAATACACACACACACACACACACGTCCACTTACATACTCTCACTCTCTCACACTCTCTCTCACACACACACACACACACTAGTAAAGTTTATTTAGCTTAGTTTAACTTTTTTTTTGTAATAAACTTTTTCTTTATTAATTATGTAAGTTTTACTTTTAAACTTGTAACTTTTAAGTCTTAAAAACTGTAAAATGGGTTGAAGAGCGAGGCATCCCCAATACGAGTATGTAAATTACTCTCTGGGGCGTCTCAAAAATATGTATGATAAAATTTTTGAGAAATAAAAGTATTTATTATTATTATGGGGAATCTATAAAGTTTTCTCATCTGGTAGGGCAGTATAAATATATAATTGTAAATGAAAATGGTAAACATACATAAATATGAATAAAATAAAATAAATACATAAAAAATACATAAATATATAAAAACCCAACCAGATGGAAGCCCTCGGCAGGGGAGACCAGACGGCCGAGGGTTAGGGGGAAAGGGAAAGAAACCGGCGGACGAAGCGGGCGGTATCGAGGAGCACCGCCTTCTGCATTTGAGCCTGGAGCGGTCCGTCACGGAGTCCCAGTCGCCTCAGATAACCCGGGAGGCTGACTGGGATTAACCCGTTCGCAGAAACGACCACAGGAATAATTTCGGTCGGCAGACCACCCCACATGCCGGTAACCTCGTGAGCCAGGTCCAGATATTTTGTCACCTTATCTGTTTCGGCTTTCACGAGGTTCTCGTCATAAGGAATGGTAATGTCGACCAAAAATATCCTTGACTGTGCCCGGTCCATCAGCACAATATCAGGCTTATTCGCAAGAATAGTCCTGTCTGTGATGATGGCCCGGTCCCAGTAGAGCCTGGCGCGGTCATTTTCGAGCACGGCTTCCGGCAAGTACTTATAATACGGCAGTTTCCGATCCACGAGGCCGTATTTCAGAGCGAGCTCCTGGTGTAGAATCCTGGCTACTAGATTGTGTCTGTGCAAATACTCAGAGTTAGAAAGCGCCGAACAACCGGAGATGACATGCCTAAGTGACTCACCGGGATGGCGACAAGCTCGACAGATGTCGACGGCGCCATCCTTTAGGATGTATCTCCGATAATTGTTGGTCTTAATAACCTGATCCTGTATCGCACAGACAAAACCCTCGGTTTCCCCAAAGAGGTCACCGAAACGTAGCCAGTGAAGGGAGGCGACTGTGTCTACGAAAGGCTCATGTAGAGCCTTGTAGAACCTCCCGTGGAGCTCCTTCTCCTTCCATACGGCCTCCCGGTCGGAAATGCACTGTACTGCTGGGTCTTGCCATTGCTCGTTGGCTAAGGATAGAGGGGTCAGTCCTTTATCACAAGAAATAACGTCCCTATAGTATGGATCATCCGCTCTCGTCAGAAAGTAATTACGGAGGCTGCACACTTCGCGATTATGCATGGTAAGCGCGCTTAAAAAGCCGCGCCCACCATGCTTCCGCGGCAAGTGCAGCCTCATTACTGACGATCTCGGATGATGCATCCTGTGGGACGTCATTATAGTGCGGACTTTTCTATCCAGAGCGTTTAGTTCGGTCTGAGTCCACCTAAGTATGCCAAAGGTATACATGAGAACAGGCATGACCCAACCGTTATATGCGTGCGTCTTATTCACACCGGACAAAAGGCTGTTAAGCACTTTGGTCAAGCGTGCATAAAACACATCGCAAACTGACTGTTTCATACCCGCCTCATCTACACCGATGTTCTGTGACATACCCAGGTATCGGTATGTTTCAGCCTCGGAAAGGGTCCTTATGTTGATGGGTATAGATAAATCTATGCCCTCAGAGTTAGCAACCCTACCCCTTTCGACATGGAGGACCGCACACTTATCCGTCCCCAGCTCCATTTTAATAGAATTGCTAAAATCACAAGTGACGTTTAGCAATTCCACAAGATGAGAGCGACTGGAGACGAATAACTTGAGATCATCCATACCTATAGAAAAGGTGGGTCACTTTTGTACCTCCTCTCCGAAGCTGAAATCCTCTCCCGGAGCCCTCCAGTAAGGTACTGAGAGGGTTCAGAGAGAGGCAGAACCAGATTGGACTCAGACAATCGCCCTGGAAGATACCCCTTCTTATGTGGTTCTCCGCAGCCGTCATCCGTTCGCCTAGATGACAAAGGATCGTACTCCACTGCTCCATACACTGCCCGAGGAAGTCTCTAACTGTAAAGTCAACCTTGTACAGCTCGAGGACCCTCTTCAGCCATGTATGAGGCACCGAGTCGAATGCCTTTTTGTAGTCTATCCAGGCGGCGGATAGGTTCCGACGGTTGCGTTTAACCACTTTGCCAATGACCGCGTCAATGAGGAGTGGTTCCTTGGTTCCACGACCACCGCCCTGACATCCATTTTGAGCGCGCGACATCACCTGATTTGAGTTCAGGTGACGAGTGATTCTCGCGCTCAAAATGGATGTTAATGTCTTATATATCGTGGGTAGACACGTGATGGGGCGGTATTTGCTCGGGTCTATGGTATCCCGGTCTTTAGGAACCAAATGAGTGATCCCAGTAGTGAAAAGGCTCGGGAGCGACTTTTGGTCGAGAGCCTCTTGAAATTGTCGGGCGAGCACAGCGTGACACACCACGAACCCCTTCAGCCAGTAGTGATGCAGCCCGTCGAGCCCCGGACTTTTCCAGTTCGGGGCCCTTCGGACCGCCTCAGCTACATCGTCCGGCGTTATAATGACGGGGTCCATGGGCGTAAGATTCGCACACTGACTCACCACAACTTCCGTCCAAGGGCCCTCACTGTGGTTTACGGGCTCTGACCACAGGCCGCGCCAGAATGCGACAGTGTCGGCCTGATTCGGTGCTTGGCCCGTTCCACGTACCATTGTTCGCTCCAATGATTTATATAGCCTCTTTTGATCACTCTGGAAGAGACAATTCTGGTTGAACCGTGTCGACCTCTCGGTATATCGCCGAATCCGCTTCCCCCAAGCAGCGATTCTCTGCTTCAGGTCGTCTATGCGCTCCGTCAGTTTTTGCGTTATATCCGGCTGGGACAAACTGATATTTGTCCCAGCAAACGCCATTCTGACGGTGCGCACAATTCGCGGCCTATTATTGCCCGACCTGAAGCTTATCAGCCTGCCGATGAGGGCCCTTACCTTTACGATACGGTCCTCAATCCTTCTTCTCCAGGCTGGGATGGCGCTACTTTGTATAGTAGCGCGTCCAGCCGTGGGAATTTTGGCGCCAACAATACGGCAAACTGCCAGTGCGGCGCCAAAAAGAATTGAGCCCGTCTCGCAAAGGTCCCGGCTGGCTTCCAAATAGGTCACCAGCATTGGGTTGAGAGCCCTCACGACAGCCCGATTCCGCTTGCTTAGGGGTATGCGCGGGAGTCGCGGTCGATTTTCGAGAGGCGTACTGCGCGTTTCCACAATCGCCTCCTCCAATTTACTCCTCATCTGCTCTAGTTCTTGGGTGACCATTCCATCATCGCCTGAATCAACCAGAGCAGGGAGATCCATGGCGCCCTCTATATGTGGCTGCTGGTCTGTGGCCTGAAGAGCCGCATCCCCAGCTATAGCCGGTTCATTCGATGAGGGAATAGCCTCACGTCGTAGTCGTTCGAGTTCGGCATCATCAAATATTTTCGAGCGTATGATGTACCGAACTCGGTCTGCCAGGTTTTGGTCCGTGACGGGAACTGACGCCTCAAGCTCAGCAAAAAAGCGATGCATCCGAGCCCGATACGCTATCCCTCCAGTTTCTTCCCCTTTCGCCCTATAGTACGCCCGCAATGCGTTTATGTTCATATTTTTTGTCCAACGCATGCGGCGTACTCCACCAGCGGCGGGTGCCGCTTGCCGAGTCCGAGAGGACCCCGCCGACACCAAGCCGTCTGGTGGGGATGATGGACGCGAGGGCCTGCTAGGTGGTCGTGCAGCACCTCGCGCTCGGCTGGCGGCTCGCATGCTGTCACGTTCAGCGCCAGCTCCAGACGCGCCCCGGCGACCCCCAGGCAGCGGCCCTATGCGCGTTCTATTATCTTCCATCATCCATTTAATTGGGCGTCAATTAACGGGAGACGCCCAGACCCGGCGCCGTTTAATAGTGTGGCCGTAAGCACAAACGGGCCTTTGCACCCTCAATACTGCCGACGCACGGCGCTCACACCTCTTGGCAAGGCACTGACTGACTGCGCTGACATAGCAGTTTTGTCACTTAACTGTTACGTCAGCGGGCGATGGGGTCGTCACTTCCCTACGCCTATTTATTATTATTATCTTTTCTACTCCTTTTTTTCTCAAGATTTTCTAAGATCTTGGTTTTTAAGAAATGCTCACGGGCCTAAGCCAAGTGCGCGTCCCTTTGGGAATCAAAATTTGAGGTGTCTTCTTGCAAAAAATTTCGGACTATACGACAAGTGTTGAGGATGGCTGCTTTTTGCATGGTAATATAACTATTTTCAGGGAGATCTAATAGTTTAAGGGAGTGGGGCAAACATTTCGGGATCACACCAGTACTGGAGAGCACCAGCGGCACAATGTATACTTTATTTATTTTCCAGATTCTAGTTACTTCTTCTTTTAGTTCTGTGTATTTAAGAATTTTTTCAGTAATGGTTTTTTGTAGATTATGGGTATTTGGGATTGCTATATCAATTAGGTATACTATTTTATTTAATTTGTCAATTAAAGTTATATCCGGTCTATTGTAATGAATCGTTTTATCGGTAAGAATAGCTCTATCAAAGTACATTCTGTGACTGTCGCTCTCCAGAACAGGTTTAGGGGTATATTGTTAGTATGGCAATAGTAGTTGGTTCGGGATTAAATTGTATTTATTTGCAAGCTTTTGATGAACGTAATTAGCAACCTGGTTATGCCGGTGGGTGTAATCAGTTTGTGCTAGGCTAGGGCAAGCACTGGTGATATGTTGTATAGTTTCGGGTAGGCGGTGACATTTTCTACAGCTATCGTTCTGCATGTTTGGGTCTTTTAATATATATTTTTTATAGTTTCTTGTATTGATTACTTGATCCTGGATAGCAATAAGAAAACCTTCAGTTTCAGGAAAAAGAGAACCTAGTTTTAACCATTTATTTGAAGCCAGTAAGTCGACGTGGGGTTGTTCTAAATCGTGTGCATGTCTACCATGTAATTCTTTACTACGCCACTTTGATAGCTTTTTATTATTATTATTATTTTTTTTTTCTTTTCTCTTTTTTTTCTCCATGTAGGGTATTATGATGATACGGGCTTTAAGCCAAGTAGTCATCATTTGCTGGTATTATTAATGTATTATCCAGAGCAGTTTCTGGGATTTGTAAAAATTTTCGCACTAAGCGACATGTATTTAAAATAACTGCTTTTTGCATTTTAATATATAAATTTGAGGGTAAATCTAATAACTTAAGGCAGTGATGCAAATATTTTGGTATTAATCCTGTAGCTGAGAGTACAATTGGGACGATGAAAACTTTATTTAATTTCCATATTCTTTTTATTTCTTCGCTCAGTTCGTTATATTTACTAATCTTTTCGGCTATTGTTTTTTGAATATTATGCGTATTTGGTACAGCTATGTCAATTAGAAAGGCTATGTTGTTAAGTTTGTCTTGCAAAACTATATCGGGTCGATTGTAATGGATGGTCTTATCAGTAAGTATGGCTCTATCGAAATATAGTTTATGTGAGGTGTTTTCTAACACAGGGTTGGGTTTATATTTGTAGTATGGTTGTAAATTGTTATCGATGAGTTTATGTTTCTGGGCTATCTTTTGTGTATTATGTTTGCAATTTGATTATGCCTGTGGGTGTAATCTGTTGATGCTAAGTTTTGACATGCTCCTGTGATATGCTGTATAGTTTCTGGTACTAAATTACATTTTCTGCATTTGTCATTTAAAAGATTTGGTTCTCTAATTATAAATTTTCTATAGTTTTTAGTACTGATGACTTGATCTTGGATGGCATTTATAAAACCTTCTGTTTCGGCAAATAATGTGCCTATTGTTAAATATTTATTTGATGCTGATATATCTATATGTTGTTGGCATAGGTCATTAGCATGTCTACCATGTAATTCCTTTTGTTTCCATTGTTTTATTTTTTCTTTTTCTTGATCAATTTTATTATATGTCTCTTGAGTTTGGTTTGCGGCGAGTCTAAGTGGAGTATAGTTAGTATCATTGTGAACTATGACTTTATGGATATTGCTGCTTGTTGACTTCTCAAGGAAGAAGTTTTTAAGACGCATGATTTGGTTCTCTCTGAGCACGGTTATATCAATAAGACCTCTTCCGCCTTTGTCTCTCTTAATTGTCAATCTTTCAACAGCTGATTTGGGATGCAAGTATCTAAATTTAGTGAGTACTGTGCGAGTTTTTCGTTCCAAATTAATTGTGTCTGTTTTGGACCACCTAATTGTTCCAAAAGAATATGTTAAAATGGGTATAGCAAAGGTGTTAATTGCCTTTATCAGGTTTCTTGCAGTTAGTTGCTTTTTGCAGATGAGGTTGACCCTATTCACGTATTCTTTTGTAATGTTGTCCTTAATTCTTTTATGATCTATTTGGTTGGTTTGTTCTATACCTAAATATTTATAAAATTGTCCAGGTTCGAGACATTCTATAATCTCATTACTTGTAGTATCTATGTTTAGTTCATGTAATTTTCCACGTTTCATGCTCACAGTTCTGCATTTATCAAGGCCAAATTGCATTCCAATATCACTGCTAAATTCTTGCGTAAGATTTATTAAAATTTTCATTTCCTTTTCAGACTTAGCAAATAATTTTAAATCATCCATGTAAATAAGGTGACTAATAGAGGTGCTGTATCCAGCTCTATCTTTCAGAATATATCCGTAATTAGATTGGCTAAGTATGGTAGACAGTGGGTTGAGAGCGAGACAGAACCATATGGGACTTAATGAATCTCCCTGAAAAATACCCTTTTTTATGAAAATGTCATCAGTAACTATTTTAATTTGATTATTTTGGAATTGTAAAGAAGTTTTCCACAGAGACATTATTGATCCTAAGAAGTTAATCAGAGTTGGGTTAATTTTGTATAATTTTAATACTTGAATAAGCCAGGAATGTGGAACACTGTCAAATGCCTTTTTATAATCAATGTAAGTACAGTAAAGGTTTCGTTTTTTAGTTTGAGCATGTTTAATTATTGTTGAATCAATAATTAACTGCTCCTTACATCCCATATGATTCTGTCTACAGCCTTTTTGTTCTTCCGCTAAAATGTTATTTGTTTCAATGTGTTTGGTAATTTTTCTCGCGATACAACATGTTAAAATTTTATAAAGAGTAGACAGGCAGGTGATAGGTCTATATTTTTCGGGATTTCCGGTATCATAGCCCTTAGGTAGTAAGTATGTGATACCACGGGTCAAAAAGTCTGGGATTTCTTGTTGTCTATATACTATTTGAGTTAAATTTTTTGCTATAATTTTGTGTAGAATAAAGAATTTCTTGTACCAAAAATTGTGAATAGAATCGACTCCTGGAGACTTCCAGCTCTTTTGTTTTGTTGTTATTATTGTAATATCTTCTTCAGTTATTCCATCAAAGCTCATTTCAGCTATATGATCCCACTTTTGCTCTTCTTTTGTAATCCATAAAGATTCAGTATTGTGTCCCATGTCTGATTCCCAAATACTACTCCAGTAGGATTTAAGTTCTTCTGCGGTTGGAAAGTTAGAATTGTGTGTATCTGGTTGAGGGTTA